AGGCTGCCCAGCGCCCGTGCGGGGGGCGCACAAAGGGCCTTTCTTCAGCCTCCTACAGACATTGCACAAATTTCACTTTCCGCCGTCTATGAAAGACATTCGGCTGTGAAGACAAGACGCGCTTGTGATTAAAATAATCGTCATGAAGAGGGGGGCTGTTCGGCAACTCCACCGTCGGATGGCTTTTGGGAGGGCGGGAATGCACCACCCTGAGCCCCGGCTGCACCCCCGCACCCATGGGCACACGTGTGACCCACGTGGCACCAACACAGCACGCTGGGGAAAGCCAGGGGTCTTTAGGGGGGTTTTCCCCCCTGCTAAATCCAAGCAAATGGGAAAGCACCGGATAGGGCTTAAAACGCACAAAGGCAGTAAAGGACGACACCTTTGTCCTGACCCTTGCAAAACTCTCCCTAAAACAGGGGGAAAAACAAAACACCGCATGGGACAATCAGCTGGGCTGAGACCATCCCAGCCCCCAAACTCATTGGCATCAACAGCATCTTCTCCCAAAGGTGCCACATGCTCCCCACGGTTTTGCTGCTTCTAGGCGCCCTTTGCCAGAAAAGGTAGCCAGAAATCAAAAAAAAAAAAAAAAAAAAAACTTCCCTCCAAAATTACAAAAAAAATTTCGCTGGAAAGTTTCTTGAAACCTTGTATATTAAAAAAAAAAAAATCACCCTGCTTATTTAGGATATCCTTGGTGCTTTAAGTGCTAAGTAACCGATTTCCTATCGATCACAGTACCGAGTGCCCCCACCCTCGCTGGCGGGACGCTACGCCGAGGTTTATGCTCCAAAGCCCCCGGCCATCCCGTTGCCACTCTCCCCCTCAGGGCAGGTGATCGCCAGGAGCCGGCATGGTTCCTCCTGCCCGAGGCTGCACCATTCACCTCCGGGCACCGACAGGCACTGGAAGCTTGGTCCCCCCCTAGAAAGGTCCGAAACCGGACACTTGAGGCTCAGCACGGGCACACGGGGGTTACTTACTTGTCCCCCGGCTCTGAAGGGGGGACCCCCGCCTGGCCAGCGCGGGGTCCATTGCCCTTGGCTGGGCAAGGCAG